TCAAAAACATGCATGTTAGGCTGATTGGTAACTCTAAATTGTCCCTAGGTGTGAATGAGAGAGTGAATGGTTGTTTGTCTCGTTTGTCTCTGTGTCCCTGTGATGGACTTGCGACCCATCCAGGGTGTACCCCGCCCCTCGCACAGTGATTGCTGGACATGGGCACCAGTGACCCCCGTGACCCAAAATGGAATAAGCGGGTAAAGATAATGGATGGATGGTTTTACAGCATGTGTTTCAAACATGTGTTAAAACATCGCAATGATCACAGTGTGTTCCAACACAGCCAATTTTCAACATAAATAACCACAGACATTTATGTAAATAACAAGTTGATACAAAGTGATGTGATGTAAAAGTTGACAATAAAGCATTCACTTAGAATTTTATCAAGTTCTGAAGGTTTGAATTGTTTTAGTTGGCTGGAAATTGCTGCAAATTTGGTCCCAGACTGACTAGCTCTTCGCTTGACTCTTTTTGGAAAATTTCTCCCTGATTCTCCAAGTTAAGATCATTAGGACTTTTGTCTACTGCAGGTAAGATATTCTCTACTTATTACCAACTCACAAAGGAACTTCCTTCAAAAAACATGATTTCTTTAAGTGAAATCTCATATCTTTTTATAAAAAAAAAATACAGGCTCTGATTTTGCCACATTTTTTTCAGCTATTCTGTAAACAAACATCTGGTTTCAAAAATGTGATTATTGAATTAGTAAATAAAGAGACAATGTGGTCTAATCCACTGTTTCTTTAAAACAGTACTATTGATGACAATTAGTTAAATGCAACTTTAGCTGCATTTTGTCAAACTCGTGGCAGAAGGGAGCTGTTCTTAAAATTATTGAACTTTTTTTAATTCTACTTGCACATTTCTTTGTCTTTTAGTGTCAGTGTTTAATACTTTTTATTGTGATAATTTCCCCCTCTAAAAAAGGCAATACAAAAACACAAAAAACCCCTAAATATTTACTTTACATTGCCAGCTGTCTGTGTTCACAGTTGTAATAAATGGATCATTACCCTTCCTGACATGTCAGGACTATCACAGAGATACAGACCGCTAAGGATTTCCAACATAAAGAGGAAAAATCTAATAGCACTCTGCAGCACTGCTTAACTTTTCTTATCACTCTCTCCTTCTCCACCTACTCCTCCTCCTCTTTTTTACCTCCTTCCCACATGCCTTAACTTCTCCTTGTTCTTTTATTCTTTTTTGTGTGTGTTTGTGTGTGTCAGTGTGATTTCCTAAGTTTCACTGTCTCTCATGGGTGGCTGTAATCCTCTCCTGTTTCTCATTATTTTGGTTCTTGTTACATTTTTCTCTTTTGAAGATGCTTTTGAGAATATAATAATTAACAGCAAGTGTATGCAACCAGTGTAAATGTGCAGAAGTCTTTCTTTCTGTTATTGGAAAACTAAAACCTATTGTAGCTTGAGAGGATATATGGTTGTAGATTTGTGGAAATGTGTGTCTCTTTAAGGAGTCTCTTAGACAAACCCTGGTGATGGATCTGCTCAACTCTTTAAATGCAAATGCTCTCTGCAGGCTTTTATTCTGGACATTGATGCTAATCAGGAAGGTTAAGAAACTAATCCTTAAAAAATGAAATCCTGCTCACACTTATACACACTCACACACCTTTCATTGCAGTTTGTTTGTTGCCCTTCTCAGTGTCTAAATAACTGTTATGTATTAAATAACTATTGTTTATTAGCTTTTCTGCATTTCAAAGATGCAAAAACACAATTTTGCACACCCGTTGTGCCATACAGTCCCATCATTTTCAGCATAATATCAACACAGTATTTTTTTCTGTCATTTCAAATAATACTGAAGCAACTTTAAAGCTTTGGATGTCACATGTGACTTTGTGCTTTAGCTGTTTTTTTTTTATATGAAATAATACATATTATCATCTGACACACTATCTTCTTATGTTGTAAATGTAACATTATCCTAAATCAGTTGTGATGCTTCTTTTAGCAAAAAAAAAAATCTTTAAATTACATTAGTTTTTCTTTTTTGTCATTTGCACACAAAGGCTACTTTGGAAGTGTGCGAAGTCTTACCGGTCATTGTTCACTCTGCGTTCAGTCTGTCTGCCTCTCTTGTCTCTCGTTCCTCTCTTCTCTCACTCACCCACTCACTCGTGTTTGCTCCTTCTTCTTCTTCTTTCAGGCAATGTTTGACTTTCGCGGCAACAGCAAGACAGAGTTAAACCTGAAGAGAGGAGAAGTGATCTTCCTGCTGCGACGAGTCAACGCTGACTGGCTGGAGGTATGAACAGGGAGACAGAGAATGGAGGCAGGAGGCAAAGAGAGGATGGTGAAGGAGAGGAGAGACAGGGAGCAAGTGGGAGAGTAAAGACAGAGGGATGGATGGGGAGGGTAGAGGAGGTGGAAGAGATGTAGCTAAAAAAATAGAGACAAAAGTTTAAAGAGAAATGAACAAAAAGACTGAGATGTGAGAAAAGACACACCAGAAAAAGTATATATTTTTTGTGTGTATTAATTTTTGGTAGACTGTAGGTGACTTGTACTAAAAACCTGAGCACATTGGAGGATGAAAATAGTCTGTCCAGCCAAATATGGGACCATGTTTTATTTATTTATTAGGTTTATTAGCAGAAACAATCAAATTAAAATTGATGTCCTTATTTCCCAAAGCTAAAATTAATCCCATCAGTCATTTGCATGTTTTTCTTTGACTATTGGTAATACAATTACAAATCACCTGCACACCAAGACTGTCTTAGTGAAAACTTGAAAAATGCTAAGCTAATTTGTGCCATGCCTCACTTCTGGCAGGGCTTTTAAATAAATTGGTCTTTAACTCTTTATTTGTGCTAATAACAAAACCTACTTGTTGTATTTTTTATCATCCAAGGCCGTAAAATTCATTAATTCATTCAACTTTTATTTGGACAGATAAATCACATGGAGTCTAGAAGACTCATTTACAAGTGAGATCTGTTTAGACAGACAAAAAAGTAGTAAAACTGGACACATGTAGGAATTGGAGGCGAAAAAAAAATCCTATCAGACTCTTTCTTATTGGCTGAGAAGAAAAACTCTAATATTAAAAAACACCTCACACATAAAGCACATAGTGACATAGATATTCCACCGGGGGGAGGGGGGGGGACGAGAGCAGTGAGCAATGTCCATGGACGCTCTCGTGGGCACTGTAAAAGTTCTGATAAGGATAGAAAAATCTACCAGTTCCCTCAGGTGAGATCTGTAAACATTCTCAAGGTTTGTCGGGGAATGGCCAAGGACAACACCTTTGGGAATCCGAGAGTCCTAAAATGATGACACAATATTTATTCAGCTGGTTTCCTCTGGTTGATCAGTTGGAAATTCCTCGGTGGGAGGGGGGAGCATCAGATTACATGTTCTCCAGGCGAATTCAGATAAGGTGGCCTTCAAGGCCAGCCAAGGGAGCCAAATTCAGATAAACATACAGTTCTTTTGGGGACAGGCTAAACTTAATGACATTTACCTTGAGTCTATGTTGGTTCAAACAGTTCAGAAATATCCAAATTACATGGCCACACTGATGGAAACGTGCCTGAGTAAAATTCCCGAGATCTGATCCATTCTGCCAAAAGCATTTGAGTCTGGGTACTCGAGGCACGAACCAAGCCATTATAAAGGCAAGCAGCGTGATCGGGTCCAAATTTGCTGCCGACAACTTCCTTGATTGTAGATAAAACCTGCAACCAGCCGAATCCAAAAAGCAGGAACCATTTATCGTAAATCCAATTAAATATGCATCCTTAAAATCCACAAATGGCAGCAGAGATAAACACATCATCAAGTCTTCAAGTCGATGAGATATCCAGCTGTGTGCATGCCAACAGGGCAAATCGGCTCGCCTAAAGCCTGTTTTCTCTTCAAAGAAATGTTATCAATTGTGCTGAGGGACCAACTGATCAAATCAAGTCCAGTTGGACAGTTATGTAGTTGCACTATGTGTGTGTTTATTTTTCTGTACGTTTGTCTTTCTTTTAGCAGAATATTTTGTGAACCAGTGACTGGGTAACAAAACAACACAACACAACACCAAAACAAATCATTAAATCTACAAATGATTAACTGTTGGACCAAACCCAATTCAAGATGGCCACCACAGCTAAAAGAACTTAGAAAACACAAAAATGGCTGTAACAAATAGGCAAATGTGTTAAAATGCCTTTCTGTAGACAGAACACATGAAATGACAAACATCACTTTCTGTGATGTTTGCAGATGACATTGTGATCTGTGGTGAGAACAGGGAACAGCTAGAAGAGAACGTGGAGAGGTGGAGGTATACACTTGAAAGAAGAGGAATGAACGTCAACCATAGTAAGACAGAGTACATGTGTGTGAATGAGAGGGAGGCTGGTGGAACAGTGAGGCTACAAGGAGCAGAGGTCACAAAGGTGCAGAACTTCAAGGACTTGGGGTCCACAGTCCAGAAAAATGGGGAGTGTGGTAAAAAGCTGAAGAAGAGAGTCCAAGCAGGATGGGATGGATGGAGAAAAGTTTCAGGAGTGATTTGAGGCAAAAGGGTGTCAGCAAAGGTCAAAGGAAACGTTTACAAGACAGTTGTGAGACCAGCTATGTTGTATGGTCTGGAGACAGTGGCATTGACAAAAAGACAGGAGAAAGAACTGGAAGTGGCAGAAATGAAGATGTTGAGGTTCTCCTTAGGAGTGACAAGGATGGATAAGAATAGGAATGTGATCGTCAGAGGTACAACACAGGTTGAACAACTGGGAGATAAAGTTAGAGAGGCCAGACTGAGATGGTTTGGACATGTCCAGAGGAGGGACTGTGGGTATATTGGTAGAATAATGTTAGAAATGCAGCTGCCTGGACAAAGACAAAGTGGAGATCTATGGATGCAGTTAGAGAGGACATGAAGGTAGTTGGAGTGACGACAGAGGATGCAGAGAACAGAGTGAGATGGAGGAGGATGACTCGCTGTGGAGACCCCTGAAGAGGGAACAGCTGAAAGAAGAAGAAAAGTAATAGAAAGTAGTGATAGTAGCTGAGAAACATCCTCAACACACACGTTGATCTCTAGCAGATCTTACAATGTTGTGTGAGATTGTGCATAATGTCATTCACAAGGTTTAAAATGTTCATACCCTCATAATTCATTACAGGCATAAAAACAGTGAATAATATCCCTTCATGAATTAATGTTCAGTTATTGCTTGTCATCTAGGCAATAATATTACATTGTTCTTCAGTTTTTATGTACCACATATGTTTACAATATTATTGTATTAGTTGCAGGGTAAGTAAATAGTAAATAATCCACATACATTAATATATCATCTTTAACATAAAGGTGTTTTAGACACAGTCATACAGAGGTTTTATTATTTAATTTACTTTTTTTTTACATATACTTTACTTTGTACATGTAGTACTTTTCAGGCAGTGCTACACATTGGAAAAATATGTCAGGTCAACGTGGGCTTCAGTTTTTTACACAATTACACAAGAACTCACTTATGTTCAAATTTGAGAATGACCTCTTCATCTTTTGAGCCACAACTACTTCGAACAAAGTGTCCTGAGGCTGTGATTTCTGACTCACCTAAAACTCCACTTGAGTTTTGCAACATGGTCTGCAATGAAATCCTAACAAATATTATGTTGATGTAAATCCTTGAAATGGCCTCACGCTAAGTATACATTTTGCAAAAGAAGAACAAATATTCTCCCCTTTTATTCTGGGTAAGTGATAAAAATATGAAATAGACTCCAACTAGAAAGGAAAGAATAAAACAATCATTTAAAATAAAGATTAAGAACAGATCTGATTGCTCACTGCACATGCTGTCCAAAATCACACATTTTAATTAGTTGCTCAACTTTTAAAAAGCAACACTGAAATAATGACTTTGGCAAATAATTGAAGGAATTAAATTCTGCTTTGTCTCAGCCTATGTATAGTCATACAACATTTTTTTTTATCCTAAAATGTATAAAGTTTTAAGACAGCGTGTGAGAAATTCTGGGAAAAAGTGAGTGGGAGAGAAAGAGAAAAGACAGAAGCTGATGTGGGAGAGAATGAGAATCAACATGTACGAGGAGGATGCACTTAACCTGCCCCGGGCTTTGTAAAGAGATCCAAAAAGTATTAAATAGTCTATTAATCCTCATGCAATATAGTGTTTTTGCTATATTGCATGAGGATTAATAGACTATTTTGTTAGGGGTGGTTGAGGTTAATGCAAAACATAAAACTTGTTAAAAGTTGACTGGGTGCTTTTAACCTCATGGATGAATCACCTGTGGGTGTAAAACACAACAAATCCAACTATCACACTAAAAACTAAATTAAAATAAAGCAACTGAGTAAAAATAATAAACTAAGAACCTTACCATAGTTTTACAGGTACAAGAAGTTAGGCTTTGTGTTGGTGCTACTTACAGATTAGAAATGAAGACAAATAAACTGAGCAGCTTTAAAGTTGCAGCTTCATCAAGCCTGAGGAAGTTACACAAAACTACTTCTAAGTACTTAGTAAAGGGATAGTCCAGATCTTTTGAAGTGGAGTTCTGTGAAAAGGTAAAGAATGTTGATTATTTTACCTGCTGCAGAAAGATTTTTGAACAAACTCAGTTTGGAGAAACCGTTTAATTCTGACCTGAGGAGATAATACATAGTCTAAACAGGATAAAGACCAAAGTGAATCACACAACACCATTTTATAAACATACACTGCTATCAGTTTTGCATTACACAGCATTTCCAGTGCAATCTGGGGCATGAATATTATGCTGCTGATGCTGGAAATGCTTGTAATGTAAATATAACATTAAAAACTGGTTTATTTCTTTATTATTTGACTTTTGTTTTACCAGGTGAAATGTTTGAGAATCAGTTCTTAAACGTTTTTCCTCCAAACTGAGGTTGTTCAAAGGGCTATCCACAACAGGTAAGATATTAATAGTTCATAACCTTACCTTTCATACGGTTCAACTGTTCATAAAGTTCAACAGGCCCCCCACAAAAGGCCAAAAATAGCTGATCACTCTATGAAGAAAAGGACAAAAACAAAAATTGTATATTTGCAAATTTTACATTTTGTATCAAATCAATATCAAGAGCACTTTTTCATTGATTTTTCCCCAAAACTGATTTAATAGTATTTACAACATTTTATATTATTCTTCTAGCATCAATCCCTCAGACTTGCAGCTTGCAGCATTATTTCCCACAGCCAAAAATAAAATATAATTTATTTGACTGTGTTGTGAAATTCATATCTTTTCAGGACACTCTGGATGTTATCATCAATGCTGTGATCATTTTAACCTGAAATACCTGTTTGGTTATTATTCATGGGTTGTTCCTGATTAAATGTTTTAAAGCTTTTAATTGATATTATTTTTTTATTTGATTCAGCAGACTGTTACACTCAATATTATAGTGGCTCTAAAATAGTTGTAAGATTGTGTTGAGTGGCTCCAGCATCAGCTGAATACCTACTGCCAAATTCTTGCAGAAAACCTTTTGCTGTTGTTTCTCTGATTCATTTCATCATTGGTTCTTTATCCCTCTATCTTTTGAGACTTCTCACATCACATGCTTGTGTCTGTTTCTTTTCTTCAGGGTACAGTGAACAATCAAACAGGTATTTTCCCAGAATCCTTTGTGAAGATTATCAAACCCCTTCCAGAGAGTGACTCAGAAGGTGAAGGTGGAGGCCACACGTACAGCTGCCTACGCTGCTTACTGCTCACCCCATCTGGAGTTGAAACCAGGTCTGTTTGGCATCAGTGAGCAAACTGTTTTTTTTTGTGTGTGTTTTTAAACTCACTCTGTGTGAAATGAGACATTTCTAACGTTACACTTAAACCTAGAGATGCACTGATACTAGTATTGGTAACTGGACCGATACCATATGTGTGTGTACTCATACTTATAAAAGTTTTCCAATGCCAAAGCATCCTTCGGCAGCATGATGTTCACCTCTCAGTTTATCCAGGTGGGAAAAGAAGAGAAATGTTAGTCACATGAAGGGTTAAAAAAAACAACTTTTAGTTGGCTGCCTTGAACCTGTCCCTGTGATGGACCTGTCCTGGGTGTTTCTCGCCTCCTGGACAGTAAGTGCTGGAGATAGACACCAACTGTCCCGCGACCCCTAAAGGAAGAAGCAGGTTTGAATGGATGGATGAATGTCCTAATCCTTCCAGTTGGTAGCATTTTTTTTTATTTTTATCATTCAACCTTTATTTATACATGTTAATCCCATTGAGCCTCGGGGACTCATTTACAAGAGAGACCTGATTTTAACAGAGTGATGACAACAGTAGACAACAAAGACAACAGTAGACAATCATAAAGGATGTGTACAAATCGAGAATAACAACTGAAAATAAAATGGTATAAAAAATGTACCAAAAAATGAGCTAGGTTGTAAAGCGGTATAGAAAACTAAAAACAGGAACATCTGTATTGGTTTTTCCCATGAACTTAGCAGATGTTTGAAGCCCACCCCCTAAGAGAGACGTGTATTGGGCAGCTCTGTGAGTGCCCGGGTGTGTCGAGGCTAAATGTTTTGATGGCATGAAGCTTGTTAGCCAGTCAAAAAAAACAAAAAAAAAATCCATAAATTGCATTGCATTGTATAAGCCGTGGGATTCAAACCGTGTGAAAAAAGTAGCAGCTTATAGTCCAGAAATTACGGTAGTCAAAATAAACCTTGTTTGTCCAGACTGAGATTATTCAAAGAGCTAGTTACAGCAGATAAGATATTTATTGTTTCTACCTTTTCACAAATTTCACTTCAAAAGATTTGAATCATATCTTTAACATGACATTGTAATAACTGAAAGGATGTCGACCAGAAAACTCTGCCCTGACTCTAGAACCTAACTGAGCTTGTTTATTAGTGTCTCTGGTGTCAGGAATGCATTCTTTTTTTGCAGTTAACACCATAAAAATATATTCTTGCTGTCAACTTAATTAGAGCTGTAGAAACTCGTGTCAGCTAAAGGAAATGTTTTCTCTTCCAATACACAGAGATGTGTGCGTACAAGAGGATCTCAACATCCAACCGACACACAAGGACCTGCTGTCTCGCATGAGGTAAACCTTCATTCACCTGTTGATTTTGTTTCTGTGGTATTTGAGCCAGTTTTACAGAATCAAAGGGTGTGGGGAAATTTTTAAAGGCTGTGTTTCATTTCATGGTTTTATTGCATTTACACTCGTGGGAAAACGACAACAGAGCTGATAAAAGCAGATGCTTGTTTAGCTGTTAATATTGTTCACAGCCTCACGCATGTGGGCAAATTACAACACCTTCCAAATACGTGATAATAAAATATTTGATGAAAACCAGCAGTTAAATGAGATATTCCATTTCTGTGTGTTTTTGTTTACAGGTAAATCTTTTTGAGCTTCAAACCTCCTCATGAATCTTGTGCCGCAGGCTCAGTAGTAGGAATTTAAACTAATGTGTTTTTTTTTTCTTCACTCATTAAAAACAAGCTTCGGAGATATAAAGTGTTATGAAGCCAACTGATAGCCGACCTTCAGCTGTGCACTCCTTAGGCCTTTTATTCCTTCATTATTTTGTACGTGAGGCCACAATAAAATTTCACAGCAATTGAGAACAGGTAAAAGTCTGTTAATCGACACGTCCACCTGGAGCGCCAGCAGATTTCGTTGTTGCTCACGGCGGTACTCGCCAATCATCAGCATTAATTGCATTAGTTCCTTTGGGACCTTCATATTTCTCCTCATCCTCTTCTGTACATCACCAGATGCATTGATTCATTACACTATCTGTTCTTTTTATTTTACTCTTCTCGGTAAGCCTCTCTCCTCATCTCTCATTACTTGCCAATTTAGATAAGTGAGTGCTGTGATCCCCCCCCCCCCCCCCACACACTTCCTCTCCTCTGCTCATAAACAGCTCATTTCCATTGCTTATCTTCTCGTTATTGTTTCTCTGTGATCAGGCCTATGGTGCCCTGGAGTCAGATGGATGAGACCCTGGCTTGAAGATTTAATATTGCAAAGCAGTGATAAACAGGAGAGGGAGACGCACGGCAAAATGAGGAGAGCGCATGTAGAAAAAGAGAAAATTACATCATGCAAAACAGAGATACTAATAATGGTACATGAAGAGTTTGTTTGTGATTTAAATTAGGTCATTTTTTAGGAAAAACTATTGAATTGTGTAAAAGGCTCTTTCTGTTTCCCCAAACCTGGGAAAGATCTTATCCTCCAATTAAAAAAAAGGATACTACCAGGATTACTTCAATACCAGGATACATGTACTGTAGCTCCTCACTACTTGACGGTTCAACTTTCACGGACTTGCTCTTTCGCGGATTTTCAAAGTAAAATTGGACATGACCAGTGCTTTATTTTAGCCGGACCCTGCCAGAATAAGATCCGGGAACTCTCTCATTTTGACTGTGTGTGTTCCAGCAACTGCTTACTCGGATCCGGCAACTCAAATCTCCGCCCCTAAAAGTCCAAAGTCATCGCACATTTTTATTTTGATTATTTATTAAAACTAGAACAAGAGGAGTTGTTGCCCAGTCTGTGGAGTGAATATTACAGCTGCAGCAGGCGCACCAGCTCGCGCACACGCTCCTGCCCAACAGAGACGTGGTCGGCATGTCTCACGAGGCTGAACTGTCTTCCTTTAAATATGGCAAGCCAAGTGGCCCATTAATAGCCAGACATGTCGTAAAAGTGGCTATTAATGGGCCATTTGGCTTGCCATACCTTACGCACAGCAGCGCCTCCAGACAGCTCTGGGCACGCACAACTGCTGATGTGAACTCACGCATACGTTTCAGACATGATAAATAAAAAAGCTTAGCTACAGTTAAAAAAAAAAGAAAAACGAGAGAAATGTTTGATGTGTATTATTCACATTAATGACGTATCAAAATAGCGGCGCTAATGTGTTAAACTAACAGCGATCAAAATGTTGACAAGACAGTCCAATTTACTTTCATTAAATAAATAAATGGATGGATGGATGGATTGTCCTTAGTTGGACGACTGAGAAGAGCAGTCATGATTGAGGTTGGAGCAGCAGGAGCAACAACATGCAGGAATAAAATCAGCAGAGTTCGACTCAGAAACATGAAGTGTGTGTGTGTGTGGGGGGGTATGACACGACAGAATCATATCTGCTCAAGTCATACGCATGTTGCTTCTCTCTAAAATAGTTATTGAATCAAATGTTTACAAATGTAGGGAAACAGATGTTTAACAACCCAATACAATAGGCTACGCCAAAATGCAGGAAATAGCATCTACTTTATTCAGAAATTTAAGGGGGATGGACCTACAAGCTCCCTCCACTCCCCTGCTCCCCTGCTCCCCCCGTCCCCCCGGCGCATGCCCGTCCTCCTCCCCCGCCCTGCACACACACCCCCGCCCACCATTTGCATTCCGGCATCGCTCAGTCTACAAATTAAGCCCTGGATATGACACACAATTGGCTGATTGATGGATGAGCCGTATGATCGGCATAGGTTGTTTATTTAAAATTGATTATTTTAAATTATTTGGCACCTGAGTGCAGCCCACAGGTTCAGGGAGAAGGTCCCTCCTGCAGCATGTCATGATCTTCGCTCTCTGCCACCTGCCAGCGATTGCAGAAGAGAAGTGGGCGTGGCCGAGAGCGGCAGGTGGCAGGGAGCTGAAATCATGACATGCTGTGCACTTTTAGAGCGTTTAGAGTTTAGAAACATTGTTTAGAATATTGCAAGGGTGTGGGAAGGGTTTAAAACACCTTTATATATACAGTATAAATACTAAAATAAACTACTACTCAGTGCTAATATTACTACTTTGCGGTTTTTCACTTATCGTGTGTGTGTGTGGGGGGGGGGGGGACCTCCACGATAAACGAGGAACTACTGTACTTCAGCATTTTCATCCTTTTAACCCAATTTCGGATCTTTCCTTTCTGCTGAAGCTCAAAGTGCCGCAACCTGTTCTCCTTTTTCAGAAACGTATTCCAGGTGGAAGACATTGCCCTCAACTACCGTGACCCAGAAGGCGACCTGATCCGTATTCTCGATGACGAGGACATTCAGCTGATGATCAAGGAGGCCAGAGGTCAGCAGGGCAAGATCAACAGACCTGTCAATCAGTTTCCATGGGAACTTCATGTGACCTTGACCTCCGACCTCTCTGTTTACAGCACTGAAGCTTGAGAGAGAACGTAGACTTCTGAGAAAAATATTTAAAAGATGATATTATAAATTAAAAGTTGTTGCAGATGTTGCTTTTATTTTACAACAACAACTAACTCATTTCAGTTAAAGACTCCCACATTTCATTTAGGATTAAACAAATCATTTACATGTGTTTGTTTGCTTTATGATTACTTTTATTATCAGTATAAGTTTAGTTGATTTGCAACATTAAACTGGGATTTAGTATTATCGTGCTCCTTGATTTAATTTTTAAGTTTAGCCACATATGATGAAGAAACTAAGACTTTCATTCTTTGCTCATCATTAATGACTGTTGATGATGTTATATATTCACACATTTTACTGGGATGTTTTGTGCCAGT